AGTTACCTAAGCTCTAAGTTAATTCCCTTAACTTTAAAAAACACTCTTGACTGATCACCAAGAATTTATTAGAATTATTGTGCTGACTCTGAGATTATGTCGCTGGACGAATAATTCAAGGTTGGTTTTAATAATTGTAATTAATGCAATCACATCTTATTTTCCACCCACTACAACCACACGTTTCCTTGACCAAGCCGAACTATGCTGAGTGGAAAGACATAGGCAAAAAAAAAAATAGTGACCAGAGGAGAAGAGGCCACAGACTGGCAAAACAAAGGGTCAGGCGTGCAATATAGCTACAGACAACAGCTGTGGTCAAAACAGCTAAACTGGCTCACTCTTGGCAAACCAAACTGCCATATGAGAGGAGTGGAGCCAGCCAGATCCTGAGACTTACACCTCCTCACAGCTGAGCAGGGAGCAGACTTATCCTCACTTCCTGACAGCTTATGGGATACAAGTATAACAGATGTAGGGTTAATTAAAGAATGCATATCGGTGTAAATTAAACCTAAAGGCTCTCACAGAGTTAAAGCCAGAAGCAAAAGAAGGTATTAAAAGCACAATAGAGGGTTTGCTTAAAGCAGGTGTTTTAGTCCCATGTGATGATACACCATGCAATACACCATTGTTTCCATTCAAAAGGCAGCTCCATCTGCTGGCTGGAGGATGGTTCAAGATTTGCAAGCAGTAAGCAAAGCAGTTGAAGCCAGAGCACCAAATATACCTGATCCAAATGTGTTGCTAAATGAACTACAACCAGAAAATGCCATCTTTAGTGTTATTGATTTGAGTAATGCATTTTTCTCCATTCCACAAGACAAACACTCACAGTTTTGGTTTGCATTCACGTTTGAAGGGCAACATTACAACTACACCAGACAGCCACAGGGCTATACAGAATCTCCAACTATTTTTGCTCAGACTATAACTGCATGTGTAGGGAAATTTGAACCGCAATGTGATTCTCAAGTGTTAACCTATATTGATGATATCTTAATTGCTTCTCAAGATGAAGACAGTTGTAAAACAGACACTCTAGCCCGTTTAAAGCTCCAAGCTCAGCAAGGTCATAAGGTCAGCAAAGACAAATTGCAATTATGGCAACCTGCAGTTAAATATTTAGGCCATAAAATCACTGCTCACACATCTAACAAAGACCCTGTTGCCACTGGCAACGCAAAAGCTCACTGCACAGCCAAATTAGCAGCTCAACAAACCTATGCAGTTTATTAACGCCAGAGACACTAGACACTGAACTACTAAGACAAATGCAAAATAACGCTCCAAAAACTGAAAAACACAAGTGGTATAACCACCACTGTAAACCAGATAATGACAATCTCTTCAGGTGACCTGAAGGAAAACTTGTTGTCCCATCCTCTTTCCACAAATACGCAGCGAATGTGAGCCATGGGCAGAGCCATGTCTCAATAGGAGGGATCGTGGGGATGGTAGAACAACAGTTTAAGACTTTTGGATATTCAAATTACTCTAAACAGGTTTGTGCTAGATGTTTAATCTGTGCAAAAAACAACAGTCAGGGAGCTATGAGACCGAAAAGAGGACAATTTCCCAACCCCTCAACACCCATTCCAACACCTATGCATGGATTTTATTGAATTAAACAAATGTGAAGGTAGAAAGTGGTGCCTTGTAATAATAGACCCATTTTCTAAATGGATCAAAGCACACCCATGCACATCACCAGATGCTACAACAGTGGCAAAGATACTGGTAAGAGAGATAATTCCCAGGTTTGGCATCCCAGAGAAATTATACAGTGACCATGGCAAACATTTTGTAAATGAAGTTATTACTAAAGTAGGACAGTACTTAAACATAGACCTAAAAAACCATTGTGCGTACCAGCCACAATCAGCTGGACTAGTAGAAAGAAATAACAGCACACTAAAATCCAGACTGCGCAAGTGCAGGGAAGAAACAGGAAAAAGTTGGATTTATTGTCTACAATTAGCTTTACATAATATGAGAATTACACCTACGACAGGAGGGTTAAGCCCATTTGAAATAGTATTTGGAAGACCATATAAAATCCCACAATTCAAATTTCAAAAAATGAGGAAATGACGTTGGCAGATTATATGAAGGCCATGCTGACAAAAAGAGAAATTGTCTCTTCTGTTATTCCTCCTACAGGAACACCGGACAATCCAGCTGGGCCAGAGGTGAAAGCAGGTGACTGGATCTTCCTAAAAGTCATTAAAAGGAAGTCCTTGTCATTTCCATGGTGGGAGGGACCTTGTCAAGTACTCCTAGCCACCCCCACTGCCATCAAAACCGCTGAAATAACATCCGGGGTTCATCTGTCCCACTGCAAAAGGGCACAAGTCAGTCTCACAGATTCCTAGAGAGAAGTCTGGGCTACAAAGAGAGCTGAGAACAATAGGTGCAGTTGTCTCAAAACCAGTGAAGAACTGATAGCTCGTGAATCTATACTTAGGAGACAGATTTCTACCTTTTGCAGGAAGGGAGGATGCCACCACCGACTGATGACGAGAGGCAGCGAGACCAAAGGAGACGACGCTGGCTGCGATATCAACAGTTCTTTACATGTGCATTCCTAATCATTGTCCTAGTCATCGCGTTACTGCTATGGCTACTGATAATACACAATAAAGAGGAACTTAATCAATCACGTGCGAGTGAACATGACAATTTGTGGTACCAGACAGCAGGTCAAATTTCCAGACAGCACACAAATCAGAGCTCTTATGTGTGTTCTAAATTACCTCATTCCTTTCCAACCAGCCCCATCCTCACACCACGGCGCAAGTAAATGACACATTGAGTGTGTTCATGGGAGAAAGATACTTTACTAATGACACATACAACATGACAATGTGTTGTGCTGACAGTCAATTAATTTGACTGCCCTTAACCTGAAGGACACGGATGTGACGGGTTATGCACCATATGAGGGAGGGTACGGCTGCCCTACCAATATGGTGTGGGTATGTGGTAAACGCAGTTACCTCTACCTACCTAAAGGTTGGTGTGGGCACTGTCACCTTGCCTACCTGATCCCTGCATGACCATTTTGAAGACCTACTGGAACAGATGAAAAAGAGAGATTCTCCAGATGAGTCTGGTTGGGATCTGCAGAGTTTGTTTAAATCTAGGCCATGGTTCGACATTGTAATGAAATTTGCTCTACCAGTGATAGCTGTACTGATCCTCTTTTGTCTCTTCACTACATGTGTCATACCGTGTCTCAGAGCTATGATTAATAATGCTATTCATTCCACAGTAGCACAGTATGTTCTGGTCCAGGAGGGCACTGACCCCCCTCCCGACTCATCTGATGAAGAAGACCAAGTGTAAATAGAATGTGAAGTGAACCTTTTATGACCTCTCTTATGAAAATCTAATGAAGTGTAAGTGAGTGACGTTGTCCAGAGATGTATACACATTCAAGAATGATTTTTTGTTTCCTCTATTTTTATCTGTCTAATAATGATGATCATGTATAACCACATGTTCATCACAAAAATAATTTTTGTGTTTCTCCTCTTTGACACTCTCTAATCATTCATCTCTCTCTCTCGTTTTTTCATGTTACCCCCTGAAATGCTGACCTGCTCCACGTGAGACGTCGCTGAGAGACAGCAGGACGATGTGGATGGTTTCCCCTAATGTTAATATCTGTCTTGGGGGTTTTGTGTCCACATGTGAAAGTAACTGAAAACAAAGAACATTGTAATCATAAACAGGAGGGAATGTCAGAATAATTCTATGTTATGATCCAGTGATCTTTGTGGAGAGGTATGAGGGTGCTGTAAATGTTCATTGCTTCTATTTCACCTTGTTAGTGTGAGATAAGGACACGACGTCCTTAGCGGGTAGTGAAATCACTATGCCTACACACACACATTTGCGGGGGGTTGTCTTCTGTTTTCTGTATATAAGAACCAATGTTTCATGCTTTTAGTTAGACACTTGTTTAGACTCTGTGCTGTACATGTTGCTCCTTGCTGCAAGTAAAACTTTGCTTTGACAATGAATGGATTTTGACATATGGATGTGATCAGGACAGCAGTCTGATCAAATATGGAAAGTTTGAGGGAGATTGGAGCATGTACAAGGTAGTTACACAGTACTTTCTCTTTCATGGCAAAGGATCAAAAATCAGAGGGCCACCGTGGCCATGCCCTTTGACCTTTGCAGATGATTTTGATAACATTTTACCTTCAAGGCGTATTCTACATGCTACCCAAATTTTAGCACTCTGTGACTTACCCCCTGGGGGAATTAGCTCAGGTTGGACAAACGAACAATCCAAAATGGCGGACTTCCTGTTGGGTTTAGAGTATGGCTGTCACTGACTTTTTTGTTCGTCCTGACCTCCTCCATATACCTACCAAATTGAATAGGTCTAGGTCAAACGTGCTTCTGATGAGACTCTGTTGAAATTTTGCAAGGTGACGCTGTGGAGCCATTTTGGCAGTGACATGTCCAAGTACTGTAAAATATCAAATTTTTCGCCAGTCCAACGTGTGTGCAAATTTTCACAAGGATTTGAGCATGTTTAGGCCCTCAAAAATGCAGTTGTTTGGGGCTATGAAGAAGAAATAATAATCCTTTCGATTTCAAGAGGGTCCTACGCACTGTCGTGCTCGGGCCCTAACTATGCAAATTTAATGATTGTATATATACAACAAATTTATTCAAACACCTGTAATAAAAACAAGAAAGCATGAATATTTTCGACATCTTTCAAAAACTCCTTCAAAAGCAAAAAATGGTACTTTTATTTTTTTGACAAATAAACTGAACAACTAAATAGTACTTTTTCACACACAATGATCAGATTCATATTTTGTGTGGCTTTGATAATAACTTGCATTCTTGCTGGCGTTGTTTTTATGTCTCTTATTTTTGAGTTAGTTAGTTTCTAGCTGTTCCCACAGACTTGCTTCAGTGAAACTTTTGTGCAATCAATCTTTGAATGTATTACATCCCTAACGAACCCCATTGTGACATGGGGAGTACTAACGACTTGCATAGTGAGGGGTAGGAGCAACAAATCCCCAATCGAAACCAAAACTCAAGTGTCAATGGCTCCTAAAGAATGTAAGTATCTGGAACTCCCAACTAGTCAGTCAGAATTGATGAAGCCTCTTACATGAGAGGTGAAACATCTTCAAGAAACTCAAGCAAGTCCAGTTGCTACGATTTAATACAAGAATACCTACATCCCAAATTTTTTCAATAGGGTTCAAATCCAGACTTGGACTTGTCCAGTCCATCAGTTCCAGGAATCCATATTCCTTTTTCTTGGTCAAATAGTCTCTGCACAGCTTTGAGGTATGCTTGGGCTCATTGTCTTGTTGGTATATGAAACCACAACCAATCAGAATCAGTCCAGAGGGGATTCCTTGATGCACTAAGATGTTGTTGTAGACGTTCTTGGTCATGATACCTTTGATTTTCACTAATTTGTCCACAATGTTTCCACAAATGTAACCCCATAACCATAATCGTGTTTCACTGTGGGTACAATGCATCTGGCATCAAAACGTTCTCCAGCTTTTCTGCGGCTATAAACAGGACGATGCTGACTGAAGAGTTCAAATTTGGGCTCCAGCATAACCTTCCTCCAGTCATCAACAGTTCAGTGTTTGTGCTCTCTGGCAAATCTGAGGCGTTTATGGATGTTTGCAGGCCTCAATAATGACTTCTTAGCAGCTCTTCTTCCCTTTAAGCCTTGTTCCACCAGTTGTCTGCTTATGGTCATTCTGGAGACTTTCTCAGACTCTGTTCTAGAAGCATTCATCTCTGCCTGAAGATCAGCATTGGTCTTCCTTCTGTCTCTAGTACTTCAAATCTTGAGCTGTCTGACATCTGCTTCAGTTAACTTTTGTTTCCTGCCTCTTCCTTGGAGCATTTTGTAAGTACCAGTCTCGGACATCGACTCCAAAGCATACCTGACCACACTGAGAACACTTTATGTCTTCCCCTGTTTGTCTCAGAGACCATCCAGCATCATGAAGTGTTTTAATGCAGACTCTTTCATTTTCAGTGAGCATTTAGTGTTTTACCATTTTGAACAGGAATGAGGAATTTCAACCTAAATTCACCTTTTAATACCCAAATTTGAGCCGATTCACAGGGCTTCTCTGAAAAGTCTGAAATTAATCAAACATAACATTCAACCACGAAAACAAATTTTCAGTTCAGGAATGCAAGTAAAAAATTATAATTTGGCATCTTTATGAAGATGCCGTCTCTTGACCAGGTCGCTATTGAAAATGAGAACCAGTTCACAATTAACTTACCTGGTAAAATAAAGGTTAAATAAAATTAGATAAATAAATAATGTGCTTTACTATTTTTGATTTTTTTTTTGTCCATCCATCCATTTTCTATACACCGCTTAATCCTCATTAGGGTCGCGGGGGGGCTGGAGCCTATCCCAACTGACTTAGGGCGAAGGCAGGGGACACCCTGGACAGGTCGCCAGTCTATCGCAGGGCCACACTTAGAGACAGACAACCAAGCACACTCACCTTCACACCTACGGACAATTTAGAATCACCAATTAACCTCAACATGTTTTTGGACCTTGTGGAAGGAAGCCGGAGTACCCGGAGAGAACCCACGCTGCATGGGGAGAACATGCAAACTCCACGCAGAAAGATTCCGGTGCCCCCACCGGGACGCGAACCGGCAACCTTGTTGCTGCGAGGCAACAGTGCTTACAGAAACATATAAAAGGATTTTGGTAATTACCAGTGCTGTTATTTTAGGGCAGCTGTGGCATAAACCTTACACTGGGTGGTGGTCTATTACATTTGTTCAGAACTGTAGCAGCTTTGTGCTCTTACAAATGAATAAAAATTAACATTTTGACAAAATAGCATCACACTGACACCTTAGAATATCTTCCTTGCCACACATCAAATTCTACTTTCATCAAAAGAAACAAATATTTAATGGTCACGCATTTTTGTATTTAGTTAGTTTTATTTTATTTTATTTTATTTTATTTTATTTTAGTTTAGTTTAGTTTAGTTTTGTAGTCTTGCTTTTGTTCAGAATCTGTTCATACATTTTTGTTAAAATTTTGTGATGGAAAAAGAAGAACCAGGCAGAAAGAAACAGTGAACTCTTTTTAATTAATGCAACATTATTAATTCTGCTGGAAAGTTTGTGATAACAGAGAGATGGAAAAAGATGAACAGGACGGAACAAAAAACGCTTAACTCACTATTTCTGCCGGAGCTTCCCCAGTGTGACCCCAGGCAGAAGTAAACAAAAGGCGCCAGCGGCGGTATCTTTACTGATGTGTGGACTGAGCGAGAAGACGGTTGTGTTGTCCTGTCTCAGATATATATTGCACCAGCTGAAGTAACGATGAGTTCAGTTCAGAATCTGAGAGAGTTGATCAACGAGCGACTAACTGCTACTGCTGAAGAAATATTCAGAGAGTTTGAAAAAACTATCGTCCAGTACGAAGAAGAGATCGATCGTCAGCGTCGATTGCTGGATATCATCTGGAAACCTGAAACACACACAGTAGGTACGTAAAACTAGGCTTCGTAATGTATAAAACACAATAGACACTGGCCAAACCTTAGGTCACTGCAGAATTTAAAAACATAAGATGTTACTGTGAGCTAACAAAGACAACACAAAGTTACACTGGGCACGTTAACATGCTAACAAAGCTAGCAAAGCTGACAGTACCAGAGAGCTGGTAAGTTAACAGGTCAACAGACCGTGTATTAGTTTGGAGTTCCTGAAAGAAGACTGCCTTAGACGAAAGTGCTGAGAAAAACTCATGTAGAAAGTCGCCTTCTTGTCTTTGACTTAAACTAAACAGCTGCAGCATCATCAAGATCCAAACTGTCTCCACACTGAGAGGAGAACTGTGCAGTTTTCTCAAAGCGTCTGATTTCATTTAGTATCTACAGCTTCTGATGTGTCATTGTGATAACCTTTACTGAGCACGTTTACTGCAAAACAAACAGAGTCGCTAACAGATTCCTGGAGTCTGCTGTGACATCACTGAGAACAGTGCAGTCATGTTTAAGATTGGAATGTTTCCCCTTTAGAATCAAGTTATTTTCAGGTATTTAAAATGGATTATTGCAGGGAGTTTGTAATACTAACAGTTGTGACATTCTTTTAATTCTTTAAAAAAGTTGCATCATAGAAATTGCTCAAATGTGGGGAATGTTGGTGTTGGCTGGCTATTTAGACAGATTTAATTTGTGACCTCATTCTGGCATTTTGCCAAACAACTGAAGTAAATGGAAGTTAGTTTTTAGTTTAAAAAAGAATATTTGATAGACAACAGTTTTTTTCAGAAACAATTTCTTTGGTGTTTAGAACAAAACATATCTACAAAACAAAGTGTATACAGTTGTCACTAGAACTGCTTACAATTGAACCCATAGTCCCTGTGTATACTGTCTGGAGTTTGATCTATGATCCCTGACCTCCCTGAATAAGGAGAATCCTCCCTCTTAAGTCCTAATTAAATTTGAGTGTCCTCCTTGTGTGACAGTCAGGTTTGTGATGGCATCTCATACTGACCCGAAGCTTAGCTTGAAGAATTTATCAAAAATCAAATCGCAGTATCCATCATCCATTATCTATACACTACTTAACCCTCACAAGGGCGAAGGCAGGGGACACCCTGGACAGGTCACCAGTCTATCACAGGGCTACACTTAGAGACAAACAAGCCCACTCACATTCACACCTACAGACAATTTAGAATCACCAGCTAACCTCAGCACCACACAGAAAGATGCCAGGCGTCCTAACCGGGAATCTTCTTGCCGCGAGGCGACGGTGCTCACCACCGGTCCACTTTGTAGCCCAAATTGCAATATCTGTCAGATAAATGAAAGTTAGATGTTTTCCCTAAAATCACTCAACCCTACTTACATGAAGAATATATCAAGGTTGGATGTATGTTTTCATGGGCACTCTCCTTTGGAAATTTTTTGGACACATCCAGCTGAGAGTAGACCCAGAACTTCCTGGAGGGATTACATATTTCAGCAGGCCTGAGAATGCCCTCCTTAGCTCACTGCCACTGACACCCAACTCTGGGTAACAGGAAAAAGATGGCTGAATTAATAAATGGGTGTTTTTCAGTAATTTTCTTAGCAACTGTTTTTTTCTGTCCTTTTATCTCTCCAGACCTCCCACAGCAGTATGTCTGTCAAAAGAAAGAGGTTCTTGCTGATAAACAGCGCAGTAACCGAGAAAGAAACTCTAGCCTGGACCAGGAGAACTCGGGGCCTGTACAAATTAAAGAGGAACAGGAGGACCTCTCCACCAGTCAGGAGGGAGAGCCGCTAGTACTGAAGCAGGAGGCTGATATGCTGGTTCAGTGCAAGTCCAAATGTAAAGAATTATCTGAAGAAATATTTGTTGTCTTTGAAAAAACACTCATCCATTACGAGGAAGAGATCGATCGTCAGCGCAGAATGCTGAATATCATCTGGAAACCTGAAATAAAGTTACACAAAATAGGTACATAAAACTGTAATGGTCTTAATGAAATACCAAATGAATATGAATCATGTAGGATCCATATCCAGACTTTATGTTGCATTATTATTTTGGGTCACAGATTGAACTTGGGTGCAGCTCTGATAAATAGCATTGCCACATTTCTTTTCTAAATTCTAAAAACGCTAACAGTAAATCTAAAGTATGTGTAAGACACTGGACAAATTACGTATTTTTTATACAACAACAATGTTTCTCTCAGGTTGATTGCTTTGGGTTTGTGGGTGTGTCGTGGTTGCAGCCTTTTTCCCTGACGGCTTTTCTTCATTTTCATTTTTGTGGTTCTGTACAGATGACAGTTTCAAAGAACTTTTGTTCATAATAATTCTTGTTCCATGTCTGTCTTTGAAATCAAGCCCTACCTCCAGTACTTGACAGGAGGTGCAGCTGTAATGTTACTGACAGGAGAGTTGTTAGCGTTCTGGTCAGAACGGGCTTCTCTGGCTGTGTTGATTTTATATAAGTATTAATCTCAAAAACCGTGTCAAAGTGGCCACATTTCAACTGAAATTTGTTGCTAACATTTTTACACTGCAGAGCCCTGCTCCTGGTGAAAATGAGAATATATTTGCTGAGATGTGTATTTTTCTGTCATCATGAAATTATAACTGTTTTCTTTTCTTGTGTCCCTCCAGACCTCCTACAACAACATGTCTGTACAGAGCAGATGAGTCTTGCTGAACAGCTGCCCTGTAACCAGGAGAGGAACTCGAGTCTGGATAAGGAAGACCTAGAGGCTCCACAGATTAAGGAGGAACAGGAGGAACTCTGCACCAATGTAGACGGAGAGCAGCTTGTAGTGAAGCTTGAGACAGATATCTTTATGGTGACCCCTACTAATAAGGAAAGTGACCACAAAGAACTAGAACAAAACAGTGACCAGCTCCTGTCTCACAACTCTCCTGTAGCTGAGAGCCCACATGATGAACAAAGCAAACATATATACTCAGGATCGACTAAAAATGCACAGCTGAAACCAAAAAGTAGACATCACAAAAAAAGCAATCATAGTAACGATGTAGACAACACTACCATATCAGAGAGTAACTGTGATACTGACACGAGTAAAAAGTGTGTAAAATGTGACGTTTGTGGAAAAGCCTTTAAGGATAGGTCCCGAATGAACAGACATTACAAAATCCACACAGGTGTGAAGCCATATGCTTGCAGCACTTGTGGGAAAAGATTCTATGAGATATCCCCAATGAGATGTCATGAAAGAATCCACACGGGTGAGAAGCTGTATCCCTGCAAAATATGTAGGAAAAAATTCAGTACAAGCTCTCACCTAAAGGTGCACTTGAGAATTCACACCGGTGAGAAGCAGTATTCTTGTGAATTATGTGGGAAAAGTTTTAGGCAAAGTAGCGGCGTAAATGTTCACATGAGAACTCACACAGGGGAAAAGAAGCATTCTTGCAAAATATGTGACAAAAAATTTGGTCAAAATAGTCATTTGATTGTCCACATGAGAACTCACACAGGTGAGAAGTTGTATTTCTGTGAAATCTGTGGGAAAAATTTCAGTCAAAGTAGTCATTTGATTGTCCATGTGAAAACACACAAAGGTGCTAAGTCCAAGTCCTGAAACAGGTGGGAAAGTTCTGTGGGTTGCCATGCTTGAAGAAATGTATAAGAATTTGTGCAGGTTACTAGTAGAGCTTCTACATTTCAAATTGAAATGTTTTATTTACAATTGGAACGCTCCCTTGAAGTCAAGTTGTGCACCAACTGCAACGCTCGCTGGATCTCCCAAAAATGGCAACATTCAACTGGTGGAACAAACAGTGATGGTTGTTTATGCCAAATACTCTCTTGCAGGCGCCTCAGTTTGTCAGCAGAAGTTGGTATTGACAGTCAGACCTGTGGACGTCTATCTTGTTAGCATCTCTCACACAGTGTCCTACTGTCTTGTCACTTGTTTGTGCCGTTTCCATACATTAAAAAAAAAAAAAAAAATCAAATAAAATATGACTATAAACAAAAAAATCACCGGCATGAATTATTGTGGGCTTAATTGTGTTTGCATTTATATCTATTTTTGTATCTATATTTTTTTCCCCAACTGGACTACTACAATACTGTAGATGTGATGACAAAACAGCAGATGAAGATCGCTATGTGTCCCTGTTTCAGCTGTTGGCCAATAATGTTTTAAATTAAGCCATCATTAAAAATCCCATCATCATGCATACACTGACAAAAAAAAAAAAAAAAGCTGAAGATACAGAGGTTTTTTTTTTATTCAGTTTATGAATAAAAAGTTTCTAGCCAATCAGAGATGATCGACCAGAAGGCCCCTGATGATTTGAGATGAAATAACTCAGGTAAAAGATATGACTTTGGACCATCTCATTCTGTTTGTCTTTTATGTTGAAGCTTATTGTAGTTTAGAGGGGATACATAAGCCACCCTGCTCAAAGATAACTTAGTAACATGAAGTGAAATGGAAGACATGTAAAGCTGGTTGCAGATTGTCACTGTTCAATGTGATGGCAGCAGAATCTGCACAGAGATCATTTCTCCACTAGATGTCATGGAAGTATTTAACCAGAAGCATCACAGCTGACATTAAGTCTGCTCACATCAGCATGAGTTGGACTTTGGGAAAAGTCGAAGACAAACCAGTGACAGCTGGCAGAAAGCTAATACCGG